AGGGGGGGGGGTGTCTGTCCGGATTTTAAAGCTGCATACTAGCAGTAATCTCCCCGAAGGCCTGACCCGTCTGGTCATGTGATGCAGTTCAGATGGGGTGAGTCCTTCTGCTAGTCAATCTGGGCGTAAGACCAGCGCCACTCTCCAGGGGTTAAGACATACTCTTATACTCTCTTATGAGATTCAATCCCTTTAAACTTCAGAAGAATATTTCGAGCATGTTTTCGTGGGCACAATAAATATTTGCCTGAAAGATGCCAAGCTATGACTGATTTTGCCGTTTAAAAAGAAAAAAAAACAGTATTTAAAACAATGTTAATTGCTTTTTCGATATATATGAAAATTTGAGTGAAATTTGGCCAAAAAAAAATTAGTTTAAAATTAACTAAAAAAATTAGTTTAAAATCCTTTCTTGGTTAATTGAAAGTCATAATGGTAATTGGCAAGTTCTTTTTTTTCTTCTTTTATTTTTTTTGTGAATAAAATATATACAGTATAATCATATGTAAATATAAATGTATCTGATGGACAGATGATTATATATATATATATATATATGTATATATAATTATTAATAAATAATTTATAATTTTATATATATATAATATAGTAAATAAACATTTTCTAACAAAAAGTGCAAAGTAACAAGTAGAAAAAAAGAAAAATGCACAAAGAACTTGTATGGAGATTTTTCCATCTACAGATTTTTCCCTGACCTTCTTTTCTCTGTAAATTAAGCGTGCACACTATTGCTGAAAAACACAATCACTACTTAGCAGTCAGATGTCCATATGCACAAAGGCACAGATCCCTAAACAAGGCCATATCTGCAGATGAAACTTTTTAAAAATTTGAACGAGCACCTCATGACCACGTTATGTGCGAGAAGCTGCAAAAGACAAGGGCACAAATGGAATGTACAAAACATGGTGACATTAATTTTTAAGTAAATATAATGGGCAATATATTGCGTCACCAAAAATTATTGAGGTCATGTACATATATTGCGTGACAAGTCGATATA